AGAAGGAACCAGTGCAATATACAGTGTTGGGAAGGTTACTTTTAAAATGTATTCCCCTACAGATTACAGATTACATACCCCAAAATGTAGTTTGTAACGTAATCCATTAAATTACTTAAAGTGAGTAACGTAATCTGAATACTTTGGATTACTTTACTTAACCAAATTAAAAATATTATTGATAGAAGAGGAGGAGACACGGTCCACACAGCATGGTTTAGTCCTGTTAAATCCTGTTTGAGACATAGTTTAGACCTGGTTTTAGTCATGGTTTTAGTCCTGGTTTGGACCTGGTTTTAGTCCTGGTTTTAGTCCTAGTTTAGACCTAGTTTATACCTGGTTTTAGACCTGGTTTAGACCTGGTTTTAGTCCTGGTTTTAGTCCTGGTTTAGTCCTGGTTTAGTCCTAGTTTAGACCTAGTTTATACCTGGTTTTAGACCTGGTTTAGACCTGGTTTTAGACCTGGTTTTAGTCCTGGTTTAGTCCTAGTTTAGACCTAGTTTATACCTGGTTTTAGACCTGGTTTAGACCTGGTTTTAGACCTGGTTTAATGTCTGGCAATGAGTGGAATTACCGAGAGAAAAAAAAAGGGATATAGCCCAAAATGTGAAAACAGGAATATACCTCTCTGTAATCCATTTATTTCAACAAAGTAACTGTAATCCAATTACCACTCACTGAAACAGTAACTGTAACTCAATACAGTTACTCACAATTTGTACTCTAATTTCGTAACTCTGGTACATTACTCCCCGACACTGGCAATACAGGGGTACGACGTGCAATACACTGGAATAGGATTCTAACTGTGTGTCACTCTCCAGCAAGTTTAAAATGTTACTTATACATGTGTGTTCTAACCTGACTCTATAATCACAGTCCTTGTCTTTGTTCACCTGTCCTGTCTAACTGCACTTCTGTAAATATTGTTTATATAACAGCAGCCTCCAGGACGTCTGCAGATGGAAATGAGCCCAAGGCTAAAATGTGGCCCATTTACATTTGTCTAAATGTTCATTAATATACACTGTTCCCCTTTTGTTAAATAATTAAATACATTTTAGGGTTATTTACTAGATATGTAATGATACCTAAAACTCGATATGATATTATTATAATATGCATCTCGCGGTACAATATTATCACGATATGCATCTCACCGTACGATATTTACTGTGAAAATTTGTAGAGGCTAGTATTGTAGATAAGACACTTTTTTGCTTTTAAAATACCTTCACAAGATTTTGTTGCAAATTATTTCTGTCATAATCTTAAGAATTCAAGTAAATATGTTCAAGTATTATGTTGTCTGCACTGAAATGAATCATGGGATATGTAGTTCCCTATCTTTATAAGCTGTTGCTACTATAAAATTTAAGCAAACAAACTTGTAATTTGATATATTGTGACAGTCCACGGTATTACTGTGAGACTTTTGACGATACGATACCATGATAGTTCAGTTACAACTGATTTTACAACCTAATTGTGAGGATCATTCTGCTTTCTGATTGGATAATGGGCCAGCAAACTAAAACATCAAATAAACATAAACAAGTTGACCACCATGTCATTGTTTTTGTAATTTTTTAAAATTTATTTATTAAAAAAAATAGGGACAAAACACATTAATGAACATATACATGATATGTAAATATGTTATCAGATTATAGCCCAAGGCTAATTTCCATCTGCTGTCCCTAGGCAGGTTGATGTAATCATAAAATAAAAGCACAGTAAAAACAATACACCCCGACAGACAATACAATAATACAAATAGACAGACACAAAGAGCTGGTCAGTCACAAGATCACAGACACAGGTCAAGTAAAGGATGTTGGATTATTTGATCAAAATTGCACACTGCCTTGTTTAGTTAAGATGCCAGTGTATAGATATTGCACACAGCCCATTGCTAAAATTACTATAAAGTGCTTTTCTACAATGTATTGCACGTGCCCTCGAAGGTAAAATTCTTTAGTATATTACATACTGCCCGTAATTTAAATATTAAAATACTTAATAAATAGCCTATTGCACTTTGCCCATTGCACATTGTAAACTATATTAAATGATCACACACCTGTGTCGACCTGAGCCATGTCTTTAAATGGCCTTTAAAAGTCGTAAAGCTGGGGGAGTCTCTAACTGTGGGTGGTAAACTGTTCCACAGAACACTGCCCTTATATGAAAACACATTTTGACTGAAAGAGGTTTTTCTATCAGGCACCTCACAGTCTCCTCTGGTTGTGGCCCTGGAGGAGCGACATGTAACACTTGACCTATACCTGATATAATCACTGAGTGGAGGTGGAGCTAAACCGTGCAAAGTATTTAAGTAATTAAGAATAAATCTGCATTATCATTGTTATCAGTAAAAGCTCTATTTGATTTGTATATATTTATCACATATCTACATATAATTATCTCAAATTTTCCATTCACATCATATGTTAAGGAAATTTACAATGGTTTAGTAGTTCATCCATCTATTTATCTACCATCTAAACATGTCAAAGTGATACGCCATCGATTACGTATGAAAAATGGATGAAAACACTCAATTGTTCTACTAAACAAAACTCCTTATCTATTGTCCAATGTGAATGTGTTTCTTTAAAGCCCTGTTAAGAGCAATGGCTGCCTGTAGCGTCTGCGGTCAGATCTTGAGTTTCATGATCGGGAGTAGCTAGCTGGAGGACAACCCATCACTAAAGTTCAGCGCAAGTAAAAATAAACAGAGTAAGCACTAAGTCAGATTTAACCTTTAAAAAACATCTGCAGATTCCAGCCCTCGGGGGAATAAATGTTGGTGAATGCAGTTAAAATGCTTTGAGGCAAAACTTGTAAAAGCTGAAGAAAAACATGGCATGGACGGAGGAGTGCTGAGTGGAGCCGAGTCAGCACCGGCCCCAAGTTTAACACTCATATGAACCTCAACCACCACTGCATCCGGACTGATTTCACTCAATATTAAAAGCACTGGAACTGATTTGGCTGTCTTAAAAAGAGAACTCATTTTAAAGGTCCTATAATACGTCATGTTTGGATGTTGTTACCTCATCAAAAACAGACCTGGAGTTGTGTTTAGTTTCATTTCACACATGCTTAAGTAGTCTTTTATTATTAGTCTGTCCACATCTCCAAGGCTCAAAATGCTCTGCTCCACCTTGGCTACATTCAGACTGCAATCTGATTTTTTTGTGTGGTCGTTCACATTTCCAATTAAATGCGACTTGTGTGTGATCTCCAGTGCGAACTTTAAATGCTCCAAAAGTGTCCCACATGTGCACTGGAGGACGCGACGATTTCACACGATGTGTTCAGTAGGGATTAGGGCTGTCGCAGTAACTGCAAAAATGAATCACCGCAGTACTAAGAGAACCACCGCGATCACCGCACATGACCAATGTGACCCAACCCAGACGGGTCCATTTTTGGAGACCCATACCCACCCAGACCCGTTAACCCAGGACTAACCCAGGACTAACCCAGGACTAACCCAGGACTAACCCAGGACTAACCCAGGACTAACCCAGGACTAACCCAGGACAGACCCAGGACTAACCCAGGACTAACCCAGGACTAGACCCAGGACTAACCCAGGACTAACCCAGGACTAACCCAGGACTAACCCAGGACTAACCCAGGACAGACCCAGGACTAAGGTGCACCTGTGTAGACCATCGGGTGACTGCAGGCGAAAGGATGGGCGTAGAGCTCCACACCGCACGGAGGTAAGTGCGGCTGTCACCCGATCGTGCTTTGCGGACACCCTGCTCCTCCGTGTGCTCTCTCTCTATTAAGTCCGTGGGTACTCGACCTAGTGCAGGACTCTGACCCGACCTGGTGCAGGACTCTGACCTGAGCTGCCACAGTGAGAGCTGGAGAGATGCAGCAGCACTTGATCCAAAGCCAAATGCTACCTCTCCCCTTTGGGAGCACACACTATATCCACATGACAACCAAGGTACATGTGCACCTGTAAAAAGCGCATCATCGGAGAGAGTTTTCAGTGCCGCTGGAAATATTATAACTTCGGAGGATGGGGGGATGAGGGAGGGGGTGCGATATCATCGCACACCGCGCTGTTGAGCTGCTATACTGCACCGCAGGAGAAATTCCACGACAGCCCTAGTAGGGATGTAACAATATCCAAGTGTCACGATACGATATTGTCACAGTATGAACCTCACAGTAAGATATTTATTCTAAAAAGCTTTCAGAGGGGATAAAAGTAGACAGCCCGAACTTGAAAACGTCCTTGAAGATGTGGACACCTGTGGCTTATACTAAGGTGTGGCCTATATATGTGCAGTTTAAAAATTTTGCTAAAATTTAGTTGATGAGGCTTATATTCAGGTGTGCTCAATAGTCCAGAAATTACAGTAGTTATTTTCTGATAAACATTAAAAACTGTTCCTAGAGAGGTTGAGTCAACTGCACGCAGCCCTGACTGCTGCTGATAGGCTGCACGCTCTGGCTACAATCTTATCTATTTTGTTTATTTTTTGATGTTCTACAATTCGTCACGAGGACAGTGAATGTGCAGGCAGTGCAACAGGTAGAGGGCCGGCATTTTGAAGCAGAAATATTAATGAAAGGCTTGATCTTGACCCACCATCCCGAATTTCAGCTAATCCCGTCTGGTCACCGTCGCTCAAACATGTGTAAATGAAACAAAACACAACGCCAGATACGTTTGTGAGGAGGTAACCACATTATAACATGGCTTAATGCTCACAAGAGTCAGTTAATATACTGTAGCTCCTTTAAACCATTTGTGTGTCGTTGTCCAGTCTAAGCTGAAGTCACCGTTCTTGTGGGCTGTGGAAACCTGTAAATCCCCCACCAGACGCTGTGGGTGGCTAAACGGACTTTTGTTTTGTGCCTGTCAGCGCGTTGCCTTTAATCTGCAGTCATGGTCAGTTCAGCAGAGAGCTTTTTTTCTAAACAGTAAAACCTCATAACCACAGTTGAAAACATAATCCAGTACTTACCCTGCAGTACTCATTGATGGGTCTGAGCCTCTTCATGGCCACGTCCCTGATATGACTTCTCCTGAACAAGATCTTACCTAGAAAAATAAGAAGAGGTGTTTATAGAGTGTTTCGATGCAAGAAAGTGCTGTGATATTTTGTGCCGATATTTTGATACAGATCAGTTTTGCCTTATTTGTAAGTTTATATTTTTGGTTTAGTGCTGGTTTGGTTCTACTTCTCTGAGGAGCTAGAATTCATACTGTACTGTTCTAATGTAAAGATGCTTCAGAGCAGTACTTTCAGATTAATAATGACTTCCAGATGGCAGCTGAAATATCTTGATTTCCAAAACAGTTTGCCGGTTTATACCTTTGAAAACTTTACTACCGTGGACAACTCCTGGACGAATGAGGGATCACACTGACTGTAATATTCATTATCGAAGGGTACACAGTGGGATGTATGGGGATGTAACAGAATTACAAAGTCAGATATTGGGACATTAAAGAAGACCTGCTGTGCTTGTGTCTGCTATACAGTTATAGTCTATGACATCCATGGATCATTATAATTTGTTCATTTTAAATTGCAATATTCATCAAAAATGACAAGTCAGATGATTTCTGCGTTAGAGAACTGTGGTGCCCAATGCAGACTAAACCAGGACTCATCCAAGGACTAAACCAGAACTGAACCAGGACTGAGTGTCGGGACGGCCCGGAGGTGCGCCCACGTAGACTGTCAGGTGACCAGGGGCGAAAGGACCGGCACCCTGCGGAGCTAAGGCGCGTTGTGGACACCTTGCTCCACGGGCTCACGGTTCTCCCCCTCTCTGTCTCTCCAGTCCAAGATTAGTCCTGGTTTGGTCCTGGTGATCTACTGATGTTCAGTGATGTTAAAAGTTGCCTCATTTAGGTCTGCATGAAGTTGGAAATAATTTTTGTTGTTGCAAAAATGAATGCACTTTTAAAAAATATTAGGGGGGGGGGCTCTAAGGCTCACTATCACCCGATTTGAAAACCCCTGCACTAGTAAGTAGAGCAGGGGTCTCCAACTTGTAGCTCGGGATTTCTGAATTATACCATTGTGCTGAATAACAAAAATGTGCTTAATTAAACACCTATTACCATTGTAAATGTATCATTTTGAAGCCCAACTTGTGCAATAAAAAATGGACAATGGTGTATGTTTTATAGGCATCTCATTGTGCCCAAAAGCAGTCTTAATAACTTAATAACTGTCTCAATTTCTTGCAGCCGCTAAAATTAGTAGCTCTCTGGCATATTTGTTTTGTAAAGGTCGCTCACAGGAGGAAAAAGGCTGGAGACCTCTGAAGTATTAGAAAGATTTTTTTTACCAAAATGACTACACGACACTGCCAAATTCTACATGTATCACAGATTAAGAAATACAAACTGGAGAGATAAGTAGAGAACAAGCCACTACAATTTAAAAGGAACCTACATGTTTAAAAGACCCAAATTCAGAACTACGGTTATGGAGCGAAGCATCACTGTGAAAGAAGTTTATGGAAAAGTCTTGACAAAGATATAAAAGGATCAAGTACAATGACGACATTTAAAAAACACATCAAATCCAGTGCAGTGTGTATGTATGAAAAAAAAAAGTTGTGTTGTTGTGAATAACAGTGAAGATTTTTGTTTGAAATTGATTTATAATTGTGCCTGAACTGAAATGTACGGATTTGAAATGTTTTAAAATAACTATCAGTGTGAATGTTTTGTCTGGAAAAGGGGACAGATAACATAAGATGACTTTTCTTTTTGCTCCTTTTCTTTCATTTATTGTATGGTTGATGTCTTTTTATACTATATGAAATAAATAAATGAATTAATAATAATAATTTAAAAAAATAAATAATAAATTAAGTACAGAGGAGTGGGCGTATGGCGGTGGCGCTGAAAACGCGTTGATGAGCAATATGGCATCTTGAAATTTGTCAATTAAAACAGTGAAAAAAAGCTAAAAAGTAAATTTTGCATAATAGATCTGCTTTAATAAAACCCTAACCCTGGTTTAGTCCAGTGTGGTAAAGGATTTTGACGCCGCGATGAGGTGACCCCGGGGTCAACATACCATATAATATTTTGACCCTGGGGTCAGAGTCCTATTATGGTATGTTGACCCCCCCTATAGAATACTGACCCCCCCAATGAAAATCTATATTTTACTAATAAATAACTTGAATGCTATTGAAAAACTTTGAATAGCAATACGATATCTGCAAATTAAAACAAATTAAAAGTGTTTTTTGAAGAACTCAGATGCATTTTTTATGTTGATTATAACTTTTGAATGTTAAAAATGACTTAGTTGTTTAAACACATATTTTAGTGAAAATCAGATAAGTAGTTATTAATGAGTTAGGTCATCAAAGTGATGTTTAATGATTTGGAATCGTGTTCAAATAGACAGGGCTGATCAATTGAATAGTTAAACAGGGGATGCATGTGACTATAGTAATCTGACCCCCCCAATATGTTTATTATAGTTATGATGATGTAAAGTAAGAAGTCATGTTAGTTGAATATTGACAATGATCTATTATATATAAAAAAGGTCAAAATCCTATGACTATAGTAATCTGACCCCCCAATATGTTTATTATAACACAACATGACTAAATTCAAGGTTGTTATCCTCACAAACCATTGCCTAAACTGACATTATGATTAAGGATTATCTGAACACAGCAAACTTAAAACCACAACAATCTAAAATACAATATAAAAAGTCACAAGATTGCTATGTATATGCAGTTTTAACAATACATTACATTTACACAAAATACCAAGTCGTTCTCCATCAAAACATTCCTTAAAATACCTTAAAAGAGAGTGAATATGTAGCAGTATATAATAAAAGTAGTGATGGGTAAATGAGTCGGAGCTCCGGAGCACGTCTCGTTCTTTCTTAAACAAATCGCTCCGAAGCACTGCCTCGGAGCTCGTCTCGCAGCAGCCGCTCACGTGACTAAAGTGTGGAAGTGCTTCGCTCTGCGTGTCAATCGCTTCAGTGTATCGAAGCGTTTCATTGGCTCAGGCGAATGTTCCGCTCTGCGATTGGTTCAGAGTGCTTCAGAGTGTTCAGCGCACTTCCGTGGTTTGACAAGCGCTAAACTGCTACAGTATAAAAGATGCACCAATATTTCTTAAAGATGTTGGGTAGTGAGGAGTGTTGTGTGACGTTAGTGGTGATTTTGGGACTTTTGGCATTTGTTTCATTTTCGATGGCATCTACAAGTGGAAAAAAGTGATCCATGGTTTGGGATCAATTTGATCTAATTCCACCGAACAAGGTCACCTATTTTCTTATTTACAGCATGCTTTTTATCTTGCTCTTTACATATTATTTTAAATCATGATTATTATTGTTGTTGTTAGGTACAGTGATCCCTCGCTATATCGCGCTTCACCTATCGCGGCCTCGCTGCTTCGCGGAATTTTTTACAGTGCTTTATTTTTTACAGTGAATCCTGATTGGCTTAGGGGCGTTACTGTTGTCTAGAAGTGAAAAAGGTTTATATTGGTTTTTCATTACACCCATGCCAACAGTTTTCGTTTCTGTACATTCTGCCAAATTTACGTTCGCAATTTTTCTCCGTGACAAAACCCACAATGTCAAAGAAACGTTCTGGATGTCCGTTTATAAAAATCTTCTTGCTCAGAAAAAGAAAGAGTGCCAACAACTACCCATAACGATGTTCTTCTCTCGGAGAAAGACCCCTGCGCAGCCTTCAGTAGAAAAAGACGCTACAGCGCAACGGAGTCAGGACGAAGAGGCGCAGCTGGAGGGACTGTGAAATACGCGAGTGACAATGTTTCCTACCTTGTTTTCATTACTATATAAAAATATTGTTTTACAACACCGTTCTTTAAACTATTATAGTTATTTGTAAGAAAACGTTAATATTTCTATTTCTTTAACACATGTTGGGCCTGAAAAGAGGTTTTATTTTTTGTTTCATTCTGCAGTTCAGTATTGCATTGTAAAATCACAGTAAAAAATAAAGCTGACTACTTCGCGGATTTCACCTATTGCGGGTTATTTTTGGAACGTATCCCCCGCGATAAACGAGGGTTCACTGTATGTCTTATTGTTAAATTTGTCCACTAGAGGTCAGTGTTTCTCCAAGGCCTCAGACTCGTCGAACCATTTGAGACAATATTGCGACTGAGGTGTCAATGCTTCATGAGGCTCCATTTGCCCATCACTAAATAAAAGTAAATTACATGAGAAATAATGATCAGACAAGTAACTACTAAAGAAAAAAGTAAGGGGAGTCAAAATCGTATGGGGGAGGGGTCACTTTACTACAGCGGTATGTTGACCCCGGGGTCAGTATACTACCTCACACCGGGTTTAGTCTGGGATTAGTCCAGCGTTAGTCCTAGTTTTGTCTCTGTTTGAAATAATCCTTATTTCAATAACTACATCTCATTCTAACAACTCTGAATCTCTGCAATAGTTACTCCACACAAAATCTACTTTGTATTTGATTGCTTTAAAACCTCCTCTTAACAACACAACACGACCTTTCTCAGTTGTTTCCACACTCTGAACCAAATAGAGTTTGAGGTCTAATATAAGACAATTAATCCGGTTACCGCTTTGGCAACACATGGTCTGTAAATGAGCTTTCAGATTTAATACAATCTCCCCATCAATAACTGTGACAGCACAAAGGGGGGCGCTGCCAGGTCAATATGAGAAAAGCAAATTATAACTACAATGTGTACTCAGCTCTTATCTACACTCACACGAGACCAAAGGAGCCGGGCCGCCAGAACAAAAACACGGAAGAAATACTAATCAAAACAAAAGTAACAATATATTACGCTAAACTGACTCTTGTGAGCTTGAGTGAGTGCATACAAGAATTTTAAGACCACACAAGTTGATTGAAATGTTTGTCCTGTCAGTTCATCTCGTCGGTGATGTTTTTGCTGTCAGGTGAAAAGCAGTTCCACAGACGCCTGCTGTATTGCACAAGTTGTGGCCTGTCGAGATTATGATGATTTTGCAAATGTTTTGAACTTGCCGTGAACTTTGAGTAAAGGATTTAGTGTTTTGA